TACATGAATAAATTGTGGTTTTATGAAAAAATCTAATATACCAATATGGTATGGAAAAACCATTTAGATTCATTCTTGTTCTTAAATATAGACTCTTAATAATGTCCACTGGATACGGAGGCACTTTGTTTTATCATAGTGAAAATCATACTTCACACACATCCTCATCTTCTCTCATACACATTTAACCATAGAGATACTCCAATAAACTGTATGGACTGTGCTAGAGAGAGAGAGGTGCGGACACCCAGCATTAGAGAATCCATCCCCAAAATCATCTCTGCACAGTGCAACACACACACTTCCCTTCAGTTCATTCTCTTACATCACATCCAAATAAAGAAGACCAAAAACAAAACAACCATCATATTTCCTCCTTAGGAAAACTGCCTGTATCTCATATAGACGCATACAGTATGTCCATCAAGCCAAGTTTAAATATATGGACAATCAAATGTACAACTATGCACAGAACACATAAGAAGTGTTACTATGGATTATGCTTCAACAGTCTACACCTCTCTGTGGACAACCGAACCAACATTGCAATATACAGCAGTAATCGTAGACAGTGAAAAGATCATGTACAGATCTTCTGACGCGTTAATGGACTCATTGTGGTGTATACTGTTTGTAGTGGTGCTATAACAGTGATTGGATGATTCATATTTATTTAAAGGCCCAGTGCAGTCAAAATGTGATTTTCTGGTGGTTTCATTTCTATTTCCACACTATGATGTTGGAATAATACTGTGAAATTGTTAAAATGATAATAATGCCCTTTCAGCCTGTTTTGGTGGGATGGAGTTTTGGCCTTCCATGGCGACATCACCAGGTGGTAAATTAGTTAATAGACCAATAAGAAACATTTCCTGTTTCCCCCTCCCACTCAGACCACTCCCAGACAGTCCTAGCTAAATTCTTGCTTGAGAAATTGCTCTTTGCTAAGTAGCTATTTTTATTGATTTTTGACCATTTTAATTGAAAACAATCACAGTACAGTACTTAATTGTTATCCAGAAATGATTTGATATTGAGATATAAATGGCTGCATTAGACCTTTAAATGCAGTCTCAGGTGGTGCAACACTTTATGTCTTCCCCGTTGCCTGAGACCCATGGAAATGTAGTGCTGGTTTGGAATAAATCCGGCCTCTTATTACTGTAGTTAACCAAACAACAAACACAAAGACACCACCAACCTCTTGGGCTGAAAGACACAATCCTTATCTGCTGTAGTCGACACAATGTTACTAAGCAAACCCCCAAAACGAGAGAAATTGCTTGTGGTGGCAGATTTAATTTGATTATTCGTTGTTCATTTCCCGCGTGGCGCAGCGGTCTAAGGCACTGCATCTCAGTGCTAGAGGCGTCACTACAGACCCTGGTTCGATTCCAGGCTGTATCACAATCCGGCCGTGATTAGGAGTCCCATAGGGCGGCGCACAATTGGCCCAGCGTCGTCCGGGTTTGGCCGGGGTAGGCCGTCATTGTAAATAAGAATTTGTTCTTAACTGACTTGCCTAGTAAAATAATAATAAAATAAATAATCATTATTTCTAATGATTTGTTGTTCCATTGGGACTAAAGGGTAGGCCAACTGTTGCTGTATGTATTATCTGACATGAGACTGAGGTCTTGAGGACCATAAATCAACATTCAGATAGTAGTAGAGAGAGACACTTATCCAACACAAAACATGTGAAGAGTTGAAAGAACTTATAAATTCATGATCCATATTCTTGTTGGAATGGAGGTGTGAACTGAACAAAGCTCCCAGTGTTCTAAGAGGCCCTCAGGAGCGGTCTGATCAAAACAACAACAGGGAAATCACAGGGCTCTGTCGGGCAGAAAACCACCAAAACAGCACAGATCCTTCTCCTCTAGTGGCACGCTTTGGAGACATTCCACAGGTCTTAGGTGGGACTTACCTCTCATTCGCTTTGGGGTTTGGATGGTGGGACTTCCCTCTCATTGGCTTTGGGGTTTGAAAAGTGGGACTTCACTTTCCCCCCCCCACATCCAATGGAAATGTCTACCTTGTACAGAGGGAGCAGAGAGACAGACTGTGTAGTAGAGCAGATGATGACCTCTGACCTCAGAGAGATGACATGGGGTGGGGCTTGCTGGCTGGCAGTGTGGTGGGGGTCCATTGGGGGGTTATCAGATGGCTGGAGACTGGGGGATGCTGGGTGTTGCTGGCTGGTAGAGGTAGTGATGGAGGTGTGAGACAGACAGAGTGGCAGACAGTTTTACTATAACAAGTGGGCCTCTATCCGTAGCCAGTGCAGTCCTTGGCGTATGTGGCGCACCAGTTCTATCATGCTGCTGTGTTGGCTCAACGGTTCCATCATTGAGTCCAGCTCCTGAAAGAACTCTGTGGAAGGAGGCGAAGGGGAGAGAGTGAGTGAGTGTTTAGGTGTGTTTGTGTGTGTGTGTACAAGACAAAGACTGACAGACAGGTGTAATAGCATAATGAAGGCTCTATTTTCCATTCCTCTCTTTCCTCCCTCTGAACCTCTCTTCCTTCCCTCCCAACCTCTCTTCCCTCCTAATCTCTCTTCCATCTCTTCCCTCCCTCCTAACCTCTCTTCCTCCCTCCTAACATCTCTTCCCTCCCTCCTAACCTCTCTTCCCTCCCTCCTAACCTCTCTTCCTCCCTCCTAATAAACAGTGGGTGATTGAGTGCCGGAACGGCTCAATCCTAAAAGTAACAGCTCTGGTGATCAGTATGTGCTGAAAGGCCCACCTAGGCCTTATGGTGACATAACTGGCCAATTCCTCTCTCATTTCCACCAAAGACACCATCCAACAGGCTCTAATTGAGCCCATTATGAGTGTCGACAGAGAGGAGGAGAGGTGGAGGGAGGATCAACTTCTAATGGGGTACTTCTGAGGCTGCGAGAGAGAGCTCTTTCCTCACACAACCACGTAACCTGCCCCTTTAATCAGCTAGGCTCAGGAAATGACAGAGACACGACACATCAAACCCTCCACACACAGTCAGAGAGGGGTGTCCTCCACATCTCTGCTGGTCTCTCTCTAGTCTGTACATTCACTCATTAATGACAGTAAATGGGTCATGGCCTAGGGCTCCTCTATTCTCCATATCGCCACAAAAGAATACAGAACACATCAGTCCATATATAGGCCATCCTGAGGGTGATGAAAGGATCTGACTGGCCTTGGTTCCGAACCGATAGGAATAATTACTCATATACAGTGAGGGAAAAAAGTATTTGATCCCCTGCTGATTTTGTACGTTTGCCCACTGACAAAGAAATGATCAGTCTATAATTTTAATGGTAGGTTTATTTGAACAGTGAGAGTCAAAAATGTCAAAAATGTTATAAATTGATTTGCATTTTAATGAGGGAAATAAGCATTTGACCCCCTCTCAATCAGAAAGATTTCTGGCTCCCAGGTGTCTTTTATACAGGTAATGAGCTGAGATTAGGAGCCCACTCTTAAAGAGAGTGCTCCTAATCTCAGTTTGTTACCTGTATAAAAGACACCTGTCCACAGAAGCAATCAATCAGAATCCAAACTCTCCACCATGGCCAAGACCAAAGAGCTCTCCAAGGATGTCAGGGACAAGATTGTAGACCTACACAAGGCTGGAATGGGCTACAAACCCTCGCCAAGCAGCTTGGTGAGAAGGTGACAACAGTTGGTGCGATTATTCACAAATGGAAGAAACACAAAAGAACTGTCAATCTCCCTCGGCCTGGGGCTCCATGCAAGATCTCACCTCGTGGAGTTGCAATGATCATGAGAACGGTGAGGAATCAGTCCAGAACTACACGGGACGATCTTGTCAGTGATCTCAAGGCAGCTGGGACCATAGTCACCAAGAAAACAATTGGTAACACACTACGCCGTGAAGGACTGAAATCCTGCAGCGCCCGCAAGGTCCCCCTGCTCAAGAAAGCACATATACAGGCCCGTCTGAAGTTTACCAATGAACACCTGAATGATTCAGAGGAGAACTGGGTGAAAGTGTTGTGGTCAGATGAGACCAAAATGGAGCTCTTTGGCATCAACTCAACTCGCTGTGTTTGGAGGAGGAGGAATGCTGCCTATGACCCCAAGAACACCATCCCCACCGTCAAACATGGAGGTGGAAACATTATGGTTTGGGGGTGTTTTTCTGCTAAGGGGACAGGACAACTTCACCGCATCTTGGGTGAGAACCTCCTTCCCTCAGCCAGGGCATTGAAAATGGGTTGTGGATGGGTAATCCAGCATGACAATGACCCAAACACACGGCCAAGGCAACAAAGGAGTGGCTCAAGAAGAAGAACATTAAGGTCCTGGAGTGGCCTAGCCAGTCTCCAGACCTTAATCCCATAGAAAATCTGTGGAGGGAGCTGAAGGTTCGAGTTGCCAAACATCAGCCTCAAAACCTTAATGACTTGGAGAAGATCTGCAAAGAGGAGTGGGACAAAATCCCTCCTGAGATGTGTGCAAACCTGGTGGCCAACTACAAGAAACGTCTGAACTCTGTGATTGCCAACAAGGGTTTTGCCACCAAGTACTAAGTCATGTTTTGCAGAGGGGTCAAATAGTTATTTCCCTCATTAAAATGCAAATCAATTCATTAACATTTTTGACATTTTTTTGTTGTTATTCTGTCTCTCACTTTTCAAATTAACCTACCATTAAAATTATAGACTGATCATGTCTTTGTCAGTGGGCAAACGTACAAAATCAGCAGGGGATCAAATACTTTTTTTCCTCACTGTATAATTACTGTATGCATGGAAGATGAATGGGAATACATGTATTAACACAAATATATGATATGATAACAAAAGAGTAAAGTGGATGTTGTATGTAACTATTACTGCTACATCAGCTACAGTTACCACCCTACCCAGTATCTACAGGACAATTTATTCTACTAATGTATAAAATCTGCCATTGCTGCCATCTCCTATATAAACATCCTGTTCTAAAACAGAGAGACTGTTTTATAGGTTGTGTCCAGTCTCCAGTACCTTGGCTCTCTGTGGCCAACTTCTCTGCCGTGTCCCAGTGCTCATAGCTACGGAGAATGTTGTTGGTGATGTTGACGTGGCTGGCGGCCATGTGGTGGATACGCTGGGGGATAGCCACGTTGCCGGAGGCCCCGGAGCCCGCAAGGCCTGTACTGCTGCTGACCGAACTGACCGGGGAGGGACTCAGTGACAGGGGCGACGGGGTGCCTGTGCTCCTGGGAAGACAGAGACACAATACAGGAGTCACAGGTTAGTGGTTGGAGGTGAAAGGTCAGGGCACCACCAAAGCGATAATACTGTACTGTATAACCACTGGACACCATGGTTTTTGATATCCTGGGCAAAACAGCTACTTACAGAAGCAAATAAAAAAAGATAGTGGATTTATTTGGGCTGCAATTTCTGAGGCTGGTAACTCTAATGAACTTATCCTCTGCAGCAGAGGTAACTCTGGGTCTTCCATTCCTGTGGCGGTGTCACGGTCGTCTATGTCGTCCAAGTATGACCAAGGCGCAACGTGTCCAAGAAACATGACTTTATTTAGCAAAGTAACCAAAATCCAAAACAAAAGACGACTCAATGAAGTCCACGGTACACAGACCGAAAACGGAACAAAAACCCACAAAACCAAGGAGAAACCACACAGTATAAATATGGCTCCCAATCAGAGATAACGAGCCGACAGCTGACACTCGTTACCTCCGATTGGGAGTCATATGACTAATCAAGCACAATCACCAAACATAGAAATCAACAACCTAGACACCCCAACATAGAAATACACCCAAACAAATGAAAATGAACAACCCTGGCTCAAATATCAAAGTCCATGGAGCCAGAGTGTCACAGGCGGTCCTCATGTGAGCCAGTTTCATCATAGCGCTTGATGGTTTTTGCGACTGCACCTGAAGAAACTTTAAAAGTTCTTGAAATTATCCGTATTGACTGACCTTCATGTCTTAAAGTAATGATGGACTGCCATTTCTCTTTGCTTATTTGAGCTGTTCTTGCCATAATATGGACTTGGTCTTTTACCAAATAGGGCTATCTTCTGTATACCACCCCTACCTTGTCACAACACAACTGATTGGCTCAAACGCATTAAGGAGGAAATAAATTCCACAAATTAACTTTTAAGAAGGCACACATGTTAATTGAAATGCATTCCAGGTGACTACCTCATGAAGCTGGTTGAGAGAATGCCAAGAGTGTGCAAAGTTGTCATCAAGGCAAAGGGTGGCTATTTGAAAAATCTCAAATATAACATATATTTTGATTTGTTTAACACTTTTTTGGTTACTACATGATTCCATATGTGTCATTTCATAGTTTTGATGTCTTCACTATTATTCTACAATGTAGAAAATAGTAAAAATAAAGAAAAACCCCGGAAAGAGTAGGTGTGTCCAAACTTTTGACTGGTATTGTATACAGAAAGTAAAGTGAATTAATACAGAGTAAAGTGAATTATATATACAGGGAGTAAAGTGAATTACATATACAGGGAGTAAAGTGAATTAATATATACAGATTTGATATATACAGAGAGTAAAGTGAATCATATATACAGGGAGTAAAGTGAATTATATATACAGTGATCAAAGGCAGATTACAATGAGGACATTTCCCCTTTGAGAGGTTTTCGCTCTTAGCTTTCTGAACCAGGGAGCCTGATTGTCACGCCCTGGGTCTGGGGACTCTTGTATGTTGAGCCAGGGTGTTAGTTTCTTTGTGTAGTGTCTATGTTTCGTTTTCTATGTTCTGTTCTAGGTTATGTGTTTCTAGGTTGGCCGGGGTGGTTCTCAATCAGAGGCAACGAGAATCAGCTGTTGCTTGTTGTCTCTGATTGGGAACCATACTTTGGCAGCCTTTTGTGCACTTGTGATTCGTGGGATCTTGTTCCGTGTTGGTTTGTGTTCATGACCGAGGACTTCACGTTTCGTTTAGTTGTTTTGTATTTTGTATCGTGTTGCTAGTACACTATTAAAGAGATGTACGCATATCACGCTGCGCCTTGGTCCAATCATTATGACGAACGTGACAGAAGATCCCACCATCAAAGGACCAAGCAGCGTGTCCAGGAGCAGACAGCCTGGACGTGGGAGGAGATCTTGGACGGGCAGGGGTCCTGGACTTGGGAGGAAATCCAGGCCGGAATGGATCGCCGTCCGTGGGAGGAGACGGTGGAGGCGCGCCATAGAGAGGAGCAGCGGCGCCAACCGGGCCGACGTCGGACACGCAAGAGGCAACCCCAATAATTTTTTTGGGGGGGGGGCACACGGCATGGACGACGGGGCTGCTGGAGGCAGCTACGGGGCGAGTTTGGGGATTAGGAGAGGAGGCCACCGGGTTTGGGGGGCTGGAAGGGAGGTTGGCGGAGCCTAGAGGTAGAGCAGAGCCAACTCCCTGTACTCAGGCTAGGCAGCGTGAGACTGGGCATGTTCCGAGGTATGCGGAGCTGCGTACTGTGCCGCGAGTGGTCCGGCACAGTCCGGTACGTCCTGTGCGAGCACCACGCACGTGTCGTGCTAAGGTGGGCATGCAGCCAGGACGGAGTGTGCCGGCTCAACGCTCGTGGCCTCCAGTACCCCTCCTCGGTCCCGGATATCCTGCGCCAGTGTCACGTGCTGTAGTGCCAGTACGAGTACACAGCCCTGTACGTCCTGTGCTGATGCCTCACACAGAGTGTGTAAAAATAGGCATTCAGCCAGGACGGGTTGTGTCAGCTCTTCGCTCCAGACCTCCAGTCCGTCTCCACAGCCCGGTCCGGCCCGTTCCTGCTCCCCGCACCAAGCCTGTGGTGCGTGTCGCCAGCCCGGTCCAGCCTGTTCCTGCCCCTCGCACCAAGCCTGTGATGCGCCTTCGCCATTCCGGCCCGGCCTGTTCCTGCCCCTCGCACCAAGCCAATGGTGCGCGTCACCGGCCCGGCCCGGCCTGTTCCTGCTCCCCGCACCAAGGCTATGGTGTGCGTCGCCAGCCCGGCCCGGCCCGTTCCTGCTCCCCGCACCAAGCCAATGGTGCGCGTCGTCAGCCCGTCCCGGCCTGTTCCTGCTCCCCGCACCAAGCCTGTGGTGCGCGTCGCCAGCCCGGTCTGGCCCGTCCCTGCTCCCCGCACCAAGCCTGTGGTGCGCGTCGTCAGTCCGGTCCGGCCCGTCCCTGCTTCACCGGTCAGCTGCTCCACACCGGAGCCTAAGCAATCCGCTCCACCGATGTCCAGTCCAGCTCCAGCCAGCGGGGCCAGACCAGGGGCGCTACGGGGGGGTTGTTAGAGGGTGGTGGTCACGCCCGGAGCCGGATCCGCCTCCGAGGTGGAATGCCCACCCGGCCCCTCCCCTGTTGGGTTTATGTTGGCGCGGTCGCAGTCCGCGCCTTTGGGGGGGGTACTGTCACGCCCTGGCTCTGGGGACTCTTGTATGTTGAGCCAGGGTGTTAGTTTCTTTGTGTAGTGTCTATGTTTCGTTTTCTATGTTCTGTTCTAGGTTATGTGTTTCTAGGTTGGCCGGGGTGGTTCTTAATCAGAGGCAACGAGAATCAGCTGTTGCTTGTTGTCTCTGATTGGGAACCATACTTTGGCAGCCTTTTGTGCACTTGTGATTCGTGGGATCTTGTTCCGTGTTGTTTTATGTTCATGACCGAGGACTTCACGTTTCGTTTAGTTGTTTTGTATTTTGTATCGTGTTGCTAGTACACTATTAAAGAGATGTACGCATATCACGCTGCGCCTTGGTCCAATCATTATGACGAACGTGACACTGATCAGGGAGTTTTGAACTGTATAGGTTTATATTTAGCCAATAAATGTTATTTTGTCAGGCTTAACTATTGTCGGTCAGGCTTAACCACTGTCGGTCAGGCTTAACCACGGTCGGTCAGGCTTAAATACTGTCCGTCAGGCTTAACCACTGTCCGTCAGGCTTAACCACTGTCCGTTAGGCTTAACCACTGTCGGTCAGGCTTAACCACTGTCCGTTAGGCTTAACCACTGTCGGTCAGGCTTAACCACTGTCGGTCAGGCTTAACCACTGTCGGTCAGGCTTAACCACTGTCCGCCAGGCTTAACCACTGTCCGTCAGGCTTAACCACTGTCGGTCAGGCTTAATCACTGTCGGTCAGGCATAAATACTGTCCGTCAGGCTTAACCACTGTCCGTCAGGCTTAAATACTGTCCGTCAGGCTCAACCACTGTCCGTCAGGCTTAAATACTGTCCGTCAGGCTTAACCACTGTCCGTCAGGCTTAATCACTGTCCGTCAGGCTTAACCACTGTCCGCCAGGCTTAAATACTGTCCGTCAGGCTCAACCACTGTCCGTCAGGCTTAACCACTGTCCGTCAGGCTTAACCACTGTCCGCCAGGCTTAACCACTGTCCGCCAGGCTTAACCACTGTCCGTCAGGCTTAACCACTCTCCGTCAGGCTTAACCACTGTCTGTCAGGCTTAACCACTCTCCATCAGGCTTAATCACTAATACTTATTTGATTTTGTATGGTCGACAAACTGGGGCTTTTCTCGGCTTGACAACCATGGCATGATCTTCTGTCAGTCGGCTTGAGCCATCAATCAGAGGACATATTCATCCGTCTTTTAGTGCCAAACCTAAACAATCAGGCTCCAGATCCTATAATTCAGCACTAAATTGAAAGGCACTCCCCCCGTGAAGTTAAATTATGTGCCCTGTCAACAGCTTGCCTCTCTCGGCACCCTCTCTTGCAGTTTGAGGCTTTTGCTGAAATTAACAAACCCTTGAGGGTGAAAAAAAGACAATAAATAAAAAATAAAAAATCATGATTGTCAAGGACAGAACAAACAAACTGTGGGAAAGGCCAGAGCAGAGTGTAATCTAATGTTGATTACAGTCCGCAGGTAGCAGAGCTGACACATGGGATTAAAAAGGCTAGTTTGTTGCTAATGTGACCATGGTGAACTGGAGGAGGTTGCAGGAGCCCTAGGAGCCAGTAGGATCTGAGGCTAATTGCTTCTGACAGCTCCTCTCACAGCAGAACAGCACAAAAGACAGGCTCAAGGGAGCTCACAGTCACACACAGAGGATGGCTCACCGCCGACTGCCAGACACACTGACGAGCTCCACGGTAGCCCCACGGAAGCCCCACGGTAGCCCCACGGAAGCCCCATGGTAGCCCCACGGAAGCCCCACGGAAGCCCCACGGTAGCCCCACGGTAGCCCCACGGAAGCCCCACGGAAGCCCAAACCCAAACACACAGGGTGGATCAGTTAGGTTCAGTTGCCATGGAGAATCCAGAAGAACAGTGAAGCGGTGAGCTCATCTCAGATCTCATCTCACCCCACCAGTGTGATGTGCTGAAAGTCACACTGACAGAGGCTCTTTCTATCATTGCTTTTGTCTGAACAAAGCAGTCACCATCTGAGAGGATTAGCTCGTTGCTTGGCCAGGAGTAGGCACATAAATGTTTCTGTTCCGGGAGATATCTGGTATAAAGAATGCATTGTAATGCAACATTAGATGACTGAGGTGAAATGTTACTCACTTTCCATTGGCTCCCCATGGTGAAGGTGCTTGGGAACTTTTAGCCGAATTCTGGAATGGAAAAGGTTTGTGAGAACATGACATTTGGCAGCACTACTATACAAACACATTGCACAGCTTAGAAAAGCTATCACTGCAACGCAAACAGCGTCTCTAGAATAATATGCACCATAATTAATTAAAACAGGCTTAAGCACTAATGTATGTAGATAATTGATACACTTAGTTTGCACACTAACCGCGAAAACATTAATTGCTTTTAATGACCACCATGCAAACTAATGAGTACACGCAACTCAACACAAATATAAATTCAATTTAGAAATCTTAATTTGCTTGATGTGCTCTACAGCGATCACTCTTTTTATTCATATAAGTTAGAATTAGAAGTTAGAATTCGAGTTAGTTACCTTGAAATACTCCATCAGGGAACGGGAATATTTTACGGCATGGTCCTTCTTCAGTTTGAACATTCTCAAGTACAGGAGGGATAAACAGCGATTGCTATGGCGATAAGAGTATAACAACATTCCATTCAATACAGGACCTAATACAGTATATCTGGTATTGGCAACATAACAGTCTGTGTATCAATTACGGACATTAAACATTCAACACAAATCATCAAATAAATAACAAGAAGGAAAACGTGTTTTCTAACACATTAACTTGACATATCCATTTTGCATGATCATTTCATATTGTTGTTATCAAATGTACCTCTCTAATTGCTTAGAAAATAAAAGCTAGAAAACAGAGGCAGTAGCCAGACAGCAGATGCTTGGGACATATGCACCACCCCATGACATGACACCAGCACTCTGGCATTAATGAGTCATCACCATCCCTAATGATGTCTGAACAGTATACTAACACAGGAATTATGACCTGGGAGTCTCACTCCTACTCTGTCTACACTGTTATGACTGAGAGCCTAACCATAACATTCTAATCATAACATTCTAACCATAACATTCTAACCATGACATTCTAACCATGATATTCTAACCATGACATTCTAACCATGGCATTCTAACCATGACATTCTAACCATGACATTCTAACCATAACATTCTAACCATGGCATTCTAACCATGACATTCTAACCATGGCATTCTAACCATAACATTCTACTCAGATTATACAATCAATATGACAGGCAGCATATAGTCTCCCTTCATCTCCCCTGTAGCAGTGTGGTTAGTATACTGTATATGTTTATAGGCTGTTGCTTGCCGCCAGGAAATCTTTCATTATCCGTAATAGCTTAATGAAATACAAGAATAATGATCCACTTTAAGCTGATTAAGTGCTTTAGCAGTGTTTTAAAGCTCCCTTCAAGATACATCCGATTGTCGGGAGGGATGGCTGAGTGGAGATTTAAATAGTGTTTGAGCGAAGCGGCAGATTTAGCATCTAACGGGTTTGGAAGCCGGCTGGATTTTCTTAAATCAACCCAAATGCCCACACAGGCTAGAGAACCTTGTCTGTCATCACACCCATCAGAGGAATGATGGGTTTTCTTCAACCATCATTCACTCATCACACAGAAGTTGACATCAGAAACTGTATCAAGGGAAAACTCACCACAATACAGCTAATTTCTTCTCGGCTACCGTTGCTGAGTGACTTGTAAAGTTCTTTAACCTCATGGCATATCTTCAAAAGCAGAACAGACAAAAACATAAATCACAGTAAAAAATTAATTAATTTCAGTTCAAATAACAACAAGAGAGGATGACTCAATATCCATAAAGCCAGGGGAGCATCCAGAAAGCCAGGGGAGCATCCAGAAAGCCAGGGGAGCATCCAGAAAGCCAGGGGAGCATCCATAGAACTGCCGGCCTTGTGTCATTTTCTGTGTCTAATCGTTTTTGAAGAAAATATTTCAATCATCTGTGCATGAATCCCTGGGTCGTATGAGGAGCTACAAGGTCCATCTATTTTCATTTTCACTGCCATTAATAAAATGAGGTCCGCTAATTGCCTTGACTTGTGGGGTAGACTGGAGCAGTGCTGGATATAATGATGGTAATTTTCACTGAGGGCAGGTGTGGATGGCTGGCCTGGGTAGGGGTGGGAGGCAGGGAGGGAGGGACACATTGGTGGGGACACAAACCTGATGAGTTCAACCGTCTCAGAGTACATAGTGTATGGAGACTTGGCCTCCAGCGGGTCCCGTTCCATGGCGTTGCCACATTCTATGAACGACAGCGCCCCATCAGCATAGTTAACAGCTTTGCCAAACTTCTCCATCTGTGAAGAAACGATGGAGACATCAAATCAGATCAACATTAGATTCACAACACTACACGGCCACAAAATATTCTCCTCATATTAAATAATTTTCCAAAGCCTCAAAGTTCTTGTGAAAACAGATATTAAGCAGATTTAATCAGAAGGAAAAAGAACAATGTCACATTAATGTTGGGAAACAGAATATTATTTCGATCTTCTTCAATTTTCTCGAATACGTTCCTAAAAATACAAATGCACACAGACCCAAAACACAAAAACAAAGTGCCAATGACAAATAATAAGCATATGACTCATAAAGCACACAAGTGTAAAATAAAATAGATTTACACACCACTCTCCACTGAAAGCACCTCTCAAGCAGGTTCTAGCCATTTCAAGTAAGCCCCTTTTACCACATACCGACCGGGCCGGCGAAAGATTCATTACAGCTCAAAGATTACAGTCATGTAACAATGGCAATCAATTCCCTTCATTTTGTATTCATGGCTGACTTTACCTCGCAGATCAGATTTATGGCCAAGTGGATGTAACTTCCGATAAAGGACAATGTCTGGGGAGATAATTACTGGAATCGAATTATTAGGGCCCGATGAGTGTGTTGGTAAATCAAGCCCGCCGCTTGGGCCCAAGCCCCTCTTTGAGGATATTGAAGAGGTGTGTAAGAGACAGATCCCACAGCATCACTTCAAAAAGACTACAGATCTCCACAAGGGCTCTTCTCTGTACACCCAGCTGCATTCTTCAGCTAGGACCAGTGTCTGTCTGTTTGTCTGTCTGTTATTAAGACCAGTGTCTGTATGTCTGTTATTAAGACCAGTGTCTGTCTGTCTGTTATTAAGACAGTTGTCTGTCTGTCTGTTATTAAGACCAGTGTCTGTCTGTCTGTCTGTCTGTTATTAAGACCAGTGTCTGTCTGTCTGTCTGTCTGTCCTGTCTGTCTGTTATTAAGACCAGCGTCTGTCTGTCTGTTATAAGGTCAGTGGTCTGTCTGTCTGTTATTAATACCAGTGTCTGTCTGTCTGTTCCTGTTTATTTAGACCAGTGCTGTCTGTCTGTTATACGACCAGGTCTGTTGTTGTGTTGATTAAGACCCGGTCGTCTGTCTGTCTGTCTGTCTGTATATTAAGACCAGTGTGTGTCTGTCGGGTTTTTAAAGATACTTCTCGTTTTACCATTTTTGGTGCTTTTTTTAAAGACCGGGGTTTTTTTTTTTAAAAGAAGGTCGTTTTTAAATCTTCCCCTTCTTTTGTTTCGGTCTTTTTTTTTTTATTAAGCCAGGCTGTCTTCGTTAAAAACCTGCGGGGTTTTCTGGTCTTTTTGGGGGTTTTTGTTTTGCGGCGTTGTCGGCCTTTGTTTTTTATTAAAAAGTGTCGGCTTTTTTTTAAAACCCAAATGCCCGGAAGACCAGGTCTCCTTGTTTTTTTGTTTAAGCCCATTTTGTCTTTTTTTTTTTAAAAGGGTTTTGGTCTGTTTTTTTTTAAAGACCAGTGGGTTTTTTGGTCTTTGTTTTTAAACAGGTTTTTTTTTTTTTAAGGGCCGTGTCTGTTCTGTTTTTTAAAAACAGTGCTTTTTTTTTTGCCGTCCCGTCTTTTGGGTTTAAACCGGCGTTGTCTTCTTTTTAAAGACCCGTGTTGTCTGCTTTTGTTTGTCTGTTTTTGGTGCCTTCTTTTGTTGTTATTAAGACCAGGGTTTTTTTGTCTTTTTTTCTGTCTGTTTTTAAAGGGAAGTGTCTGTCCTTGCCCTTTTTATTAAGACCTGTTCTGTTTTTTTTAAAAAACCCTGTTCTTTTTTGCCGCGTTTTGTTTTTTATTAAGAAAAAAACTTCTGTTTTTTTGAGCCGGGTTTTTTTTTTTTTCTTTTTTAGGCGCGTCTGTCTGTTTTGTTATTACCCAAATGTTGTCTGTTGTGTTTTGCCGGGTTGTTGTTTTTTGGCTTTTTTTTTTCCTGTTTTTTTTTTGTTTTGCCGTGGGTTGTTTTTTTCCGTCTTTGTCTTGTTTTTTTTTTGTCGTTTTGTTGTTTTTTTAAGACGGGTTTTTCCCCCTTTGTTTTTAAAGACCAGTGTGTCGTTTTTTTTCCCGGTTTTGTTGCCCTTGTCGTCTTTTTCTTTTTTTTTTTCCCTTTGGGCTGTTTTTTGTACCCCCTTTTTTTGTTTTTTTTAAGGCCCTTTGGTTTTCCTGTGTCTGTCTGTTTGTTGTCTGTTTTTGTTTTTTTATTAAACCATGTCTGTCTGTTGTTTTGCTGTTTTTATTTGATTTTTTTTTTGGGGGTTCGTCTGTATGTTGCTGTTTTTTTTTTGGTCGTTTTAAGCCAGTTCTTTTGTTTATTAAACCAGGGCTTCCTTGTTTTTTTAAGACCAGGTTCTGTTGGTTATGAAGACCAGTGTCTTCGTTTTTTTATGAAGCCGTTTGTTGTCTTTTTTTTTAAAAAGGGGCCTTTGTTGTTTTTTGTTATTAAGCCTTTTTTGGTCGGTCGGGTTTTGTTTTTTTAGACCAGGTTGTCGTTTGTTTAAGCCCGTGTCTGTCTTTGTTTTAAGACCGGGTTTTTTTTTTTTTTAAAGGGTGTTTTTGGGGGGGTTTTTGTTTTAAAAGTTTTGCTGTTTTTAAATAAACCGGGGTTCTTTCTTTTTGTTTTTGTTGTCTGTTGTCTGTTTAAGACCAGTTTTTCTGTGTTATTAAGACCGTGTCTTTTTTTTTAAAACCCAATTTGTTTTTTTTCCCGTTTGGTCTGTTGGTTTTTTTTTTAGACCATGTCTGTTGTTTCCCCGCGCCCGTCGTTGTTTTTAACCCAATTTTTTTTTTTATTGGCCCCGGTTTTTTTCTTTTTTATGGGGGTTTTTTTTTATTAAGCCCATTGTTTTTTTTTTTTTGTTTGTTGTTTTCCGGTCGTTTTTTTCTGTTTTAAAGCCCCTTTCCTGTCTGTTTTTGGTTGTTTGTTGTTATTAAGACCTGTCTTTTTGTTTGGGGTTTTTGTTATTAAGACGTGTTGCCCTTTTCTTTTTATTAAACCGGTCTGTCGGTTTTAAAAGTGTTGTTTTTTTTTAAAGCCCCGGGGCTGTTTTGTTTTGTTTCTGTTTTAAGCAGTTTGTCTGTTGTTTTGCCGTTTGTTATGGTCTGTCTGTCTGTTTTTAAAAAGTCGTTGTTTGTTAAAAAATTTTTTTTTTTAAAAGCCCGGTTGTTGTTTTTTGGCCTTTTTTTGGTCTGTCTGTTTTTAAGACGGTCTGTCTGTTTTTTTAAAAACCCCCTTTTCCCGTCTTGTTTTTTAAACCCGGGTGTTTTATAGAATTGTCTGTTTTTCTGTCGTCGTCGTTTTTTTTTGTCGTTGTCTGTCGTCGGTTTGGGGGCTGTCTGTCTGTATGCTGTCTGTTGTTTGTTGTTTTCCCCTGTTTTTTTAAGACCGTGTCGGTCTTTTTAAGACCAGTGTGGGGTCGGGGGGTCGTCTTTTGTTGTTTGGTCTTTGTCGTCGGTTGTCTGCTGTGTTGTCTGTCTTTTGTTGTTTTGTCTGTCTGTTTTTTCCCGGTTGCTGTTTTTAAACATGTTTGTTTTGTTATTAAGGCCCAGGTCTGTTTTGTTTTTCCAGTGTCGTCTGTTATTAATTTTCGTTGTCGTCTTTTTTTTTAAAAAGGGGGCCCGTTTTGGTTTTTTTTTCCCCGTTTGCTGTTGTTTGGAAATGGGGTTTTTTGTTTTTTCGTCTGTCGTCTGTCTGTCGTCTGTTTTTTTTAAACCAGTGTTGTGTACAAATTCCCGGGTGCCCCCCCCTTTTGGGCGGTCTTTGGCCCCCCCGGGGGGTCTTGTCCCTTTGGTTTTTGGGGGGGGTTTTTTTGGGTTTTTCCTTTTTTTTGGGGGTTGTTTTGGGTTTTAAATTTAATTTTCCTTGTTTTTTGGTTGGGGTTGTTTGTGTCCGTTTGGGTTTGGTTATTTTTTGGTTGATTTTTTTTAACTTTTACGTAATCGCGCCTCCGTGTTGGGAATTTTTTTGGTTTCCCTTTTTGATATTAAAGTCTTTGCGACTAAGTTGGTTCTGCGCCTGGGACTCCCACACCGCATCCCATCAGCCGGACAGTATGGCTTTTTGTTAATAAAACCCCGTTTTTTGTTTTCTGTCTTTTCGTCTGTCTGGGGGTTTTTCTGTTGTTTTTTTATTAAGACCCGGTTGTGTTTAAGACCGGTTGTTGTCGTTTGTTTGCTGTTTTTAAGACCGGGAGTCGTTGTTTTTTAAACCAGTGTCTTCTTTTGTTTTAAGACCAGTGTTTCTGTTAAAACCATGCTGTTGTTGTTTTTTTGTCTGTTATTAAGACCCGGGATGTCGTTGTTTTTTAAGACCCCGTTCTGTTGTCGTTATTTAAAAAATGTCGTCGTTTAAGCCATGTCTTTGTTGTTTGTTTTTTTTATTAAGACCTTATTCTTCTGGTTTTTTTAAACCAGTGTCGGGCTTCTGTTTTAAATCAGTGTCTGTCGTTTAAACCAGGGTCGTCTGTCTGTTTTTCTGTCTGTTGTTGTCTGTCTGGGTTTTTTCCCTGTCTGTTGTCTGCTTTCGTTGTTGTTTGTTATTTAAAACCAGGGTTTGTCTGTTTGGGGCTGTCGTCTGTCGTTTTGTTTGGGCGTGTCTGTCTGTTTCCGGGGGTTTTTTGTTTTTTATAAGCAGTTTCCTGTCTTTTTTGTTATTAAGACCTGTCTGTTGTTGTTATTTAAGACCCGTTTTTCTTTTATTGCCTGTTGTTTTGGGCGTCTGGGTTTTTTGTTATAAGACCCGTGTCTGTCGGGGTTTTTAAAGGGCCAGTCTGTCCTTTTTTAAAAATCCTTTTTCTGTTTGTTTGTTTTGCGTTTGCTTTTTGAAGACCGTGTTGTTTTTTATTCTGTCTGTTTGTTGTTTTAAAACCTGTTGTCTGTTGTTTTAATTTAAGACCCTGTTGTCCGGTTTTTAAAAAATTGTTGTCTTTTTGTTTTCGCCCGTTTTTGGGGCTGTTGTTGTTTTTTTAAACCCGTTGTCTGTTTTTAAGA